TAGCAAGAACGTGGACTTCAAGCCGGAGCTTGGCATCCTGGTGTCCCTGGACAGGCCCGCCATCGGTGCCAAGGAGGGCCGCACCGCAGAGAGGGATGGACTCCTCCCTCTCCTCATCCTCTTGTAGCTGTTATCGCAAAGCCCAGCACCCTGGGGTACTTTTCACCCCCGAGGGAAGCTTGACGTGCTCGAGACCTGCGTGCCCTCCTCCTTGGCTCCCAATTTCGAGCGCAGCGAGACGTAAGCGGTTGTCTTCGCAGGCCAGGGAGGTAACACGGCACGTGCAGCCCCAGGGGCGACAGGGCTCCCACGCATCCGATCCTCAACCAAGAAACTCAGCACTGATATCCTTGAGGTGCATGCTGCACTAAGTCACTAATAGCACAGGGCACTCTGTCACAGCCGGCCTCGCACCTGTCCCCAAGTTCATCTCGCGCAGAAGCCAAGTCCGCAAACGGTTTGGAGAGATTGGCAAGCCAGTGTTCTATAGAACGCTGCGTATCGCCGATTCTTGGTTGTTCTCCACGTTCTGGCATCACGGAACTCACTGGAGGCGCCTGAACGCAGTGGGTTGGTTGCCGAGGGAGGGTATACCGTGTTGTCATCGCGTTGCGGCCACACGAACGCCAGGATCAGCTCACGGATCGCGAGGTCCTCCGCCGATTTCGGATGCCGCCAGCCTTGATCACCATCGGGTTTGCCCGCCGACGGTTGTTACCGCGTATGCTCCGCCCTGCTGGCGCGCCAGTACCTGCAGCGCCGCGTGCTGCGGCGCGGCGGCCGCATGCTCTCGTCGCTAGGCGTTCTGCAGGGCCTCCGCTGGATGCTGGAGCAGTGCAAGACGCTGGCGGACATGCCGCCATCTTCTGAGCAGCTTGGAACGCGGCGGAAAAAACTGCGCCCTGCAGAGCAGAGAGTCGTAATCCTTTGACCGTGCGCGAGCCGACGCAGCCCGAGGACTGCGGCGCCACCCCTCCAAGCGAGCAGGAGCCCCGTGCCCGCGCTGGGCCAGGCCCGCCAGCCGTGCGACGCCTCGCTCGCAACGCGCTCGCGTCCGGAACCGCCACGCGTGGGGCCCCGCACGCGGGCCCCGAGGATGATGTCCTGCGGCACGTCGTCGTCACGCCCCGCCGCACCTGCGGCAGCGGCCTCGGGAGCGAGGCCGGGCTGCAGCTTCCTCTGCAGCCATGCAGATGGGCACTGCCGCCCTGCAGGGCCTCGCCCTCTGCCATTCGCGGGACGACGGTGCGCTGGCCTTCCCGAAGGCACGGAGGAGGAGGAGGAGGAGGAGGAGGAGGAGGAGGAGGAGGAGGAGGAGGAGGAGGAAGCGGAGGAGGGAG